AACTGGCCCGCGCCCCCTTTTGGAATTTGCAATGAATAATCTGAAAATATGACCAAAAAAAAAATTTTTTTTTTTAAAAACTGCCACAGATATAGACTTTTAATGTACAATTATATCCCACCAGGATAAGGATCCAGGAAAACACACTGCAGCGACAGTGATGGAAGCTAGGTCTCTCTAAGCAAATCTGAGAGAGAAAAAATGCCAATTGAATGAGATTGGATTACCCATGTAAGGAAATATGAAGATATTCTGTATTAGACTGAATAACAACCTGGCAGTTGGTAAAAGGAAGAGAAGCCAATCAGCCAAATCAACGCCAGCAATACAAGGCCTCAGGCAGCTTCCCCCACTCAGGGAGGGAGTGGCTGCTTTTCTAATTCCCCACCCTGAGATCTGCTGCGGAAGCCAACACTTACACCAACCATTAACAGAGTAAAGAGTAAAGAACAACTTTCTTTTTCCCCTCTGGGAGAGGGAGATAGAGAAATCAGCCCTACTAGGCCTGGGAGCCTAAGCCTAGGGCCAGCAGAACGTCGCAGCAATAGGAGGCCTGCAAAATGTCGCCCGGCCATGAGGCAGCACCCAAAATGGCGGCCGCCTGGAAATCGAAAGTGAAAGGCAAAGCGGGCGGCTCAGGGTGGGTGCATCCTGCAAGCCACGAGGGCGAGGATGCTGAAATTGGCGTTAGTGGGGGGAAAACCAGTATAAAAAAGGCTCCAGACCTTAGAAAGGCACCAGGACAGCAAGGCAGGAAAAAAAGAAATAAACAGCAGAGAGGGGGTGGGGGGTGGGGTGGGGGGGGTGTTAGCACTAAGTGTTGCTAAGCTGCCCGCCCAGTCCCCTGGGGGCAAAAAACGCACACCCCTAAGTCTCAAGACACCCCCAGATGCGCAGAGGCTAAGGAAATAATAAGCTTAAATCAAACCTGAACTGAAATATTATCCTGCTTGAATCAGCCAAAGAGTGGGAAGCACAATCAAAACACACAGCCTAACTCTGCAAAGGCTGGCCATAAACTGGGAGGCTACAAGGGACCATGTGACAGAGGGCGGAGCGTTCCTTAATGATTAAGTCCAGCCTACACAGACGCAGACTGGAGCACCTCCCACTCTCTGGATGATCCGAGCAGCTCGAGGGAGAATAGGGTGTTTTTTGCTTAATGACAATTAGTTCAATTTTAATACACTTGCAACAACTCAAAATTCCAGCCATCATGGAATCCTCACAGTCTTGTGATCACAGGTGTTTGGCAACGGATTTGCACATAACGACAATTGCAGCTTCCTATGGCCATATGGTCACTACTGAAGACCTTCCTTGCTGGCTTTCCATAAGCAATATCAGTGTCTGGGAAAGTTGCAAAAATTCCCCCTCCCTCTGTCCCTCCTGCATGCATGCTGCTGTACCCCATTTCCACCAACTCGTTCATGACTTTTGCTGGCCCTTCAAGGCCTATTCTTGGCCTCCCCCGTGCCCCCCACCCAGCTCTTTCCCTGGGATTCCTACCATTTCCTATTTAGCAATTTACATGTTTTGAGTTTACAATAGTAACCAGGATTTTCATTGCTAAACAATGCACTCATGTGGCAATGCGCTTTAAGACTATATCACTTTGTCCCAATTGCTGTTGTAACCCAAGAATCTCTGTTCCTGTGACAAAGCTTTCATTGAATGCTCTAAACATTTACTTTCACTGTGGAAGGTAATAACATAAGTATTATGGGTTTGTTTTTTTACTTGTATCCCACCTTTATTTTTTGTTAATTTAAGTCGGTGAGCCTAGTGCTCCCTTCTCCCACAACAACCCTGCAAGTTAGGTAATAGAGATTGACTGGCTCAAAGTCACCCAGCTTGCTTCCATGTCTAAGGGGAAACTAGAACTTAAAATCTCCCAGCACTTCAGCCACTACAGCAAATTCACTCTCGTGCTCAGTTTTTTTGTTAAACACGACAGTGGCACACAAGTTTCTTTGAATATGCACAGGTAGCAGTCAGCCATCGTGCCCCATAAAGTGCCTTCTAAAAGATTGAACTGGTGGTTGGATGATTGGAATTGAAGTCAATCACATCTAGAGGAATGAAAAGTTAAGAAAGCCACAAAAGAAATGTTAAGTGATACATTTTAAGGCAAAGATTGTGTTTACCACAGAGAAGGTGTATGAAAAGTGAAGTGTATTCTATTCCCTTTTTAATGGCCTTATCTCTCCCTCTTCTCCAGACCGACAAGATCTGGAACAACCAAACCGTGTGGATCAACTGCAAGAACCTCTGTTGGAAGCCCTGAAAATCTATGTGAGAAAGAGGAGACCTAGCAAACCTCATATGTTCCCCAAAATGCTGATGAAGATTACAGATCTACGGAGCATCAGTGCAAAAGGTAAGGGCAGGCAGACCCTGCAGGGGAGAAAAAAAAAAGTTTTTTCTTCTTTCTTAAATCTGTAAGGAGGCAGAGTTTTTTTTAAAAAAAATGAATTCATAACTAAAAACTGTCTGATATGTATGATAGTGTTGAACATCATGTTCAAAATTGAAAGGTAATTCTGAGAATACAGTGAGCATTTTCAATACACACCGCACTTTTGAAAGTTTTTGAAAGTAAATTATCTTGAGTATTGCTTACACCTTTAGCATATTCTCTTGGCTTACTTAGGAAATGCTCAGGTTATATATTGTGTTGGTAAATCAGCTGTCTTCCCTCCCACAGGTGCTGAAAGAGTGATAACTTTGAAAATGGAAATTCCTGGATCAATGCCACCCCTCATCCAGGAAATGCTAGAGAACTCTGAAGGCATGGATTCTTTGGGGGGCTCAACGGGAGCGTCTTCCCATATCAGTAGCTTAGCTCCACCCCCACCTCCACCTCCAGGCAGCTGCAGCCCTAGCCTCTCGCCCAGCTCCAACAGAAACAGTCCTGCCACACATTTACCGTGACCATGCTGGACCCCTGAACTAGTTGCTTGATCCCCTCTCTGCGCACATCAGTCTTTTGCTTCCTGGGTCTGCCTGGACACACCTCTCAGGAGGAGCAGAGGTGGGGTGAAGGCGTAGCAGTAGGACAGGCTGTTGCTGCGGGCATTCTCCTCTCCTTCTCTGTACCACATCAGTCCTGCTCAGACCCACGAGGGAAGGCTGCTTATGTTCTCCTGTACCAGCACACTATTTCTCACTTAGCTGTTCAAACAAAACAGGGTTCTGCTTGCAAGAAAGGGTCCTGCACTCGTGGAGAGAGGCACAGATCTTCTCTGAAGGCAGATCAGCAAATAGATCCGAAGGACGGCTGCTCAAAATTAGGAGCAAGATTTTTTCCCCCAAAAGAAACTAGTTACAGGAGGAAAAAATACACTTCTCTGTGGCACGTATCCCACCCCCCCCCCCCACTCTCTTCTTCAGTCTTGTCATGCACACATACATGCCTCCACAAAGGTGTTGCTTGCTTCTTGTTGCAGTGAAAACGAAGTCGTGGCGGGGGGGGGGGGGGGGATTTCCCAGTTGAGTTTGCATTTCGGGGAAAGGATATAATTTTTTTTTAACTGCTCAAACCTTCTCTTCATCCTCAATTTGACTGTGCAATCTTACCTTTGTCTCTTTTCTTGCCTCCTCCTCCTACTTGTCCACTTACATATGCCTAAAAATGTCACCAGCAATTTTTTTTAAAAAAAGAAACATTAGTTCTTCAGTTTCTTTTTTTAAAGTACAGTAGAACATGGAGGGAAGGATTCATTTAAGAAAGAATAACTATTATATATACAAATATCTATAAATATATATAAATACATTTGAAAAAAAAAAACTTTGTACAAGTTTGGAATTTGAAGGGTTTCTAAAAAGAGGGTGGCAAGGAAAGGGCCAGAAAAACCAAACCAAACCACGGAGATTCATGTATGGGGTTGGTCATGCTTCTCATTATAGATTCAAAACTATTATCTAGCCAAGTACTTGAATTTGGTAGCCACTCTTCCATGAACACTATGCTGGGAATGACTGAGAAACCTGGCTTATTGGTAAGTAATCATGAGCTCATGCACAGTTGCTAAATAGCCAGAAATGTACAGTGGCAAAAAAAGTTATCACTGCATTCAAAACTGAATTCTTAGCTGATCTCTTGAATAAGGTTACAGAGTCTGCAGAGCAAGGCATATTTACAAAGAAAACCCACAATCCACTGTTCTAATTTGCTTTAGTCCTATTTTCAGAGGAAGCTAACTGAAAGCAATAGGACAACATTCCTTGCTGCCAGAATTTCCAGGAGTGCGTTTAAGTTCCAGTGTTTCCTGCAACTGTGGCTAGTATGAGTTAAAGATATTTAATTTTGGCTAGTCCTGTACTTACTGGCTGCTTTTATTTGCAATATATCTTGTTTGGATCACTTGGATACAAAGCTAAAATCTCACAATTCTCATTTTTCATTTCTATTTTGGCAAATGAAAAATTGAGAAACGAGGGGGTTCTAAACATTGTGATAAAAGTGTTGTTTTGAGCAAAATGCTTTGTTTTCTAAAGATTGTGTGTGTGTGTGTGTGTGTGTGTGTCAAAATCACCTACATTGTTACATGTTCTTACTAACAAAAAGCCAATTTCTCCCTCTCACTCAACTCCTGATTCTTATTATAAAATACTTTTTTTGAAAGGGCAATTTTAATTTTGTAAGGCACAACATTTTATCAGGGGAAACATCTTACTTTTTTTCTTCACTTCACTGACCTTTGTTCAGTTTATTGGTTTCTAGGTTGAATAATTTGTATCTTCTTCTGGAAGAGAACAATTAAGGGCAGGGCTCTAAAGAGTTAATGTTGGAAGCTTTGTGGTGGGTGAAGGGTATCTTTTCTATAATGATTCACATAATCTGAATTGCCGTATCACCAAACAACTTCTTGTGTCTTGTGATCCAAAGCCTTGGGGAAGGATTGCTTTTCAAAGAGAATAAGGCAGGTAGACAATCACCGTAGTCCTTGAAGGTAATAGGACTAGCTTTTAAGTTCCATCCATAACATGATACCACTAGATTTCATCCCTGTGCCTATTTAGCTGGAAATAAGGATTGTTTTCCAACCGTACAATCCTACTTGTGTTTATGCAGATGTAACTCAGAGAGACTGAGTTCCAAGGCCGTGGAAATAGGAATGAGGTCCTTCAAACTCCCACCTCATTAGGTTCAAAACAGCTGCCATGGGTGGATTCCTGATTTATCTATGGAACGTATACCATACTTTAAAGAAGTAGCCAGAGGGGATTACGATCATGATTTATTCTAGTTTTTTTTCTTAGTGTTGAGATCTGATTGTCTTAGAATATGACATGACATTTAAACAGAATTGTGTAGGGTGGGAGTAGCAAAAAGATTTTAGTTCTCATAAAAGCACGTCCCTCAGGTTATAACTTTAAGGCATGTGCTCCACACTTCTCAGATATGTATATAAAGTTGTGATTTCATATAAAAAGATCCTGGTGAGTTTAAATCCTACCATAATTGTTGAATTGGATGGGAATGGGCTTGTGAGATGTCTTATGTGTGTCCCTTAAAAGAAATGACTGCTTGGTGTAAATGAATTACTTTATTCTCAGCCCTATTGCATTAGTGATCAGCAATTTATTAAAGGGTTAAATCAGCAGGGGTTAGCCATAGTAAGTCAATGGACCTTTCCCATGGTAAGGTAATATACTTTTAAACATTAGATGCCAAGGAGTAACAATAAAAGAAACCTGTGTTTGTTACAACTGAAATTTCTGAAATATTTGGCTGGTTGCCTGGAAATAGAACTAGACCCATGATAAGATGAATCTACAGCTTAGTTCTTATTATACCAATGTGCAATTACCTTGCACATAGCAAAGGATGCCTCTGTGAGGGCACTAAGCTGGAATTTCGATGGCACAGTGAGCTTTGTTTAGTTTAGAAACCTTTTACTAAATAAACTACAATTAACCAATTGTATGTTTTTGACAGCAGAGGCAGAAATACTCTGCATGACAACTCAATGCTTGTCCAATCAAAGTGGAGAAACATGGTCATATTTAACATATTGATGTATGGATTAGTTACAAAAACCATACATCAACATTAATGTATGGATTGATTATGAAAACGATGTAGTACAGAAGTTTGGATGGCCTTATCAGATGAGTTTGTCAATATTGTTCCAGGCTGAGATTAATAAATAGGTTTACAAGTTAAATAATTATCTATTCGCTTTCCAAATCATCTACTTGATTTATGTTAAGAAACCATAAAATATTGGACTAGAAAGGTTTTGCTTTATCAGAACAAGACAGTTCTTACCAAATTCTCTCCTGTTTAGAGTTGTGTGGAATCCTTTGGAGTTTTCTTCTGATACGTGCAGTGGCATTTTCTTCTCCTTCTATTGGTGTTTCTCATAAAACCTTTTAAAGATTGGAGGTTGACAATCAGAATAGTGTTTTGTTGCACAGTCATGACAACAACCCTAATACGGAACAGTTGTCACCTCTTGTGCTTTTGTGCTTTTACATTTGTTTGTGCAAGGCAGACAGGCTCAATGGAGAAGGCTTTCCAGGCTGCACCCCTTTAATGTAAGGATGAACAATCTCTTTTTGTTAGGATCTTGCTTATCATCTGTTAATGTTGAATGGACTCAGAAGAATCACAGGGTTTAAAATAATCCAGTCATGATTCAAGTAGATAGAGATGGAAATTTTGTTGCTTTCTATTTTCTTTTTGGTGATGGGATTTAGGAATGCATTTAGAGTTTTCTGAAGTTTGTCACCCCTTATCAGTTGTACAATATGATGGGGTGGGCATAGTGACCTAAGAAATGTAGAGGCTACTCAACTTTGCTTTAATGATGCCAGCAGCTAGAACCAAGTCCAGGAAGAGATGGAGTTCAGCAATCCACCTATTCACAGTGGACATGGACATGGGGCTAAAGGTGTTTTGTTATTTAATCAAGATGGAATAATTTCAGCTCTGGAAACAAAGTTCAGCCCTTCCTTTAAAAACTGCAACACTTAGCACTGGAAAACATACTTTGTAAAAGTTGGTAAAAAATGAAATAAGGTGTCAATGCCTCTTTTAAGTGGAGGTGAGAAATATGCAGCCTGACTGGGAATGTGCTGGGAAAGGAAAAATAATTTCTACATTGTGCTACAGTGCGATAGTAAGTATAGCAAATACTGGTGTCCACTCTCGTTTAGGAGATATCATCTGATTTCAGTCTATATAAGTCTGTATAAGTGCTTTTGGTTTCAGCTGTTCTAAAGCCAAGCTTAGCTAAAATTCAGTTACACTGTGCTGAAATCTTTGCTTCTGAAGACTCAGAGGTTTATTTGGTACACAATAGTGTAACGTGGCTATAGTTGCCAGTCATTAACCAAGCTTCTTTGCCAAATGCTGTGAGAAGGTAAATTACCACATATGCAACATCTCATTTATGCACAATGCTTTTTCCCTCAATATAGGACCTGCAGGTAAACAAGTTTAACATTGAGACTACAAGTGTATCAGAATCCAGGCTAGAGTGTATTAGTCTGTCTTGATTAAGCCTATTCCACAAAATCAATTTAAAAATTGGTACCTTGGTTGCTATTTCTGTTATTTCAAAATCTCATTGCCTTGGTTGAAACTGATCCCATTCTGTAGCATCCTCCCTCTCTGTGTACAAAGGGAAAGATGATGGGGTGGTGGAAACAACAGACGGACAAATGCTGGTTTCCTGTTGAAGGTCAGAGTGAAACTGTCAATGGCACCCCTGCTGCTCCGCCAGGCTAGTGAGGAAAATGCAAAGCTATCAGGCCAGCATTTCCCTTTCAGGACCTGAGGCTTTGAGCTTTTCCAGCTGAAAAGACCTTCAAAGTAGATTCTTTTGCATTGTGGCCTAGCCAGAAGTACATTATCTCTGTAGCCATAAAGAAAACAATAGCATGGGATTACTGTACACAAATGTGGAATCAATCCAAGAATGATGAGAACACCCCTTAAGTCACAAAATGCTGATCAGTAGCCAAAGATGGGGAGGGCTTTAAAATCAAAGAATTGTAAAGAGAATTATGGGAATGGTTGTGAGAAACTGCCTCTGAAATAGAGTAAACTGAAGATTTGAACTGGAGAATAGCTCTTTGATGAAGGAATGTGATGAGCCTTACATTTATTTGCCTTAGAGAGAATGGTATTTGAATTCTTTATCTTTGGAAGCCTGGACCCAGTATTTTACCAAGCTAATGGAAGACAACGCAAAAGACCACCAGAAGAAGATGAGATGCACCAGCCTTTTGGCCACATTAAAGCCAGTCTGAATTTTCATAAATGGAATTATTCAGAAGCCACTTTAATTAATCTGAAGAACTGATAGTTGCAACACCAGCTTTCTTCTATGTGTTGTGCAGCATTCAGTCAAGCAAATAGCGACAGCAAATATTTCCCAGTAGTTTAGCAGGAGGGAAAAAAAGGCCAGAGAAACTGTTTGAGAAAAGTCATCTGAAGAGCTGCTGCTGATCCATTGTGGGTGACTGAGAATAGACTTCCTGCTAAGTAAGCGGAGACTGCAGGAGGAATATAAGATAGCCAGGTTCCAGGGAGTGAGTTCACTGAGTGAACAGGGATTAAACAGACATTTTTTCCAATGAAATCTTTTAACTTTCTAAATCAAGCACTGTACTGCACTAACCTGAGAGCCTCAGAAAGAACAAGAAATAAAAGCTGGTTGTTAGTGATGCTTTAGTAACCAAAAACGCAAACAAACCAAGTAGTCTACACTCATGTCCTTCAGTGTTTATAGCATGCTATTTTCATCCCCAACCTACCTGGCATATGATTGCATTAAATGCAGGCTTGCAACAGTTGCTTCAGACCAGGTGAATGGGGAGTCAAAGGTTTGGAGCAATGATCAGCTGTAATTCAGCCAATATGACAGTAGATTAAAAAGTTTCCAAATCTGTTTCAATGCTTAGTGACTTAATGGACCAATCCATCGAATTTTCTTGACAAATGAATAAAAGTGAGGTGCCATTCCAATATGTTTATTCAACTTTCCAAACTAGCCCTATTACAGGTAGTTTTCGACTCGCAATGCAATTGGGATCAGAATTTCAGTTGCTCAGCAAGGTGGTTGTTAAATGAATTGTACCCAATTGTACAACCTTTTTGCCACAGTGGTTAAGTGAATCTGTGGAATTGTGAAGTGAATCACACTGTTATTCGGTGAATCCTGCTTCCCTCAATGACTTTGCTTGTCAGAAGCAGCTTGGGAATGTTAACAATGGCAACCACATGACCCCAGGTGCTGCAGTTGTCATAAATACATGCCAGATACCATGCACCTGAACTCTGATAAGGTGAATGTGGGGATGCTGCAAATTGGTCCAGTGCCATTGCAACTTTGAAATATTCATGAGTCCAGAACTACCTGTATTTGAAAGATTGGGTATGCAAATTGTGCTGGTAGGACCCATTTACTTCTGGAGTTACAAGAGTTACCTATATGATGGGCTGCTGGCATGAGTTGTTCCTCATAAGACCTGGAAAGAAAGGCTTTGAACTGAATCCTGTGAGAGGTGGAAATTAAATCTCCGAAGTGGAAATCTCAACTAACTTGCCTTCTATAGGAAGACTTGGGAGCGTAAAACTTGTGGGAAAAAAAGGTGTATTGCTGGTGTTTTCTCAAGGAATTGCAGATAATTCTTTTCAAAAGCAAATTGCAGGTTTCTTAAATAATAGGGGATGTTAATTCCACCAAAACCTACTGGTCAAAAAGTACATTCCTAACTTTGTCACTTACAGTTTTTCCTTCAGAGAATGGAAGAAGTCTCCAGAGCGTTTACTCTGACTTCATACCAACTAATAAAGATAATCGAGGAAGTAGAAATAGCAGAAATATTGGAAAGTGGGTATGAGATAATGATAATATAACCATGGAATTCTTGATTTTCAGGCAGTTAAATATATTCAAATTCATATATTGAATTTCAGCAATAATAAGTAGAATTCTATAGCAGGGAGAACAAATAGAAAAGGAACTCAAATTTAGCCTGAATTCCTATAAAAGGAAATGCTAAAAGAAAAAAAAATTACAAATCATTCCAATGGGAAAATAAATAGGACAGTAGAAGAAACCAGTGGCGAAGATTTGAAACAAGCAAAAGGAAATGTACAGAAGATGGAAAATTGAACATATCACCAAGAAAGAAGACACAGAAATGTAGAGATGAGATCAAGAAAGCTGAAGCTCAGTGTGTGTTTAGATCAGTGAGGAATATTTCAAACATTACAAAGGTCATCTTTAGATGTCTTCAAAATAGAAGGAAAAGAATCCACAGGCTGGCTGCTAAATGAAGCAAAGTAACAAATAGTCATCTCCTATTTTGGCTCAGGCTTCTCCAACAAGAGGTAATTGTGAGGAGCAAGACAAAGAGGCAGGTGAGGCACGAGGTTAAATGTAATAATTTCAACAACCACTCAGTATACCTGTTTATTTCAAACAAGTTTAAATCTCAGGCCCAGATGAATTATTGAGTTATTATTGGGAAGTCTTGCTAATGTCTGATGAACCCTCTGTAGATGGTGTTTGAGAAATCTTGGAGAGCTGGTAAAATGTTAATGAGTACAGAAAGAAAATAGCGATCAACTTTGTAGATAGCACACAAAATATTGGGATAATAACGTAAAAATTGCATTCAAAGTGGGATGTGCAGGACTTTGAGTCCTAAAGGCTTCAGGGAGGGAGTGGCCATGCTTGTTGTACCTGTTGGTGTCTGCTTAAAGAAGCCACACCTTTTTGTGGATTTGTACTCTAGCTATGAACCCCATGAAAAGTTTTTCCTAAATAAAAAAAATAAGAAAACAATGACTGTCTCGGGTGTGTTTTATCGCTCCTACCCAGGCATTTTTCAAATGAGGACCGTTGGTTTCAGTTGTGGATCTTGGTCATGCAATGTCAGCCCTTTCCACTCAAGCCGACGTTTCCCTGCCAGGCCCTCCAATTAAACTGACTGCTGCAGAAATGATTGCAGTTCAGTCCTCTTGTTTCCTTGTATTCCACCCAATCCCAGAGCAGTGTTGCTTAAGTTAACGTGTGACACACACATGTATCTAAGTCCGTGTCTAGTTTTGCCTTAAAAGATTGGTGATCTTAGGAATACACAAACAACAGTCAGAAATAACTAATGAATTTATTGTTGCTACTTTTGGCCACAAGAGGCCAGCAAAAACCTTGCAATGGCTGACAATATGATGAACATATATTTCTAGCACTTGAACAAAGGCAGTCTCCGAGGAACAAATGGCAGTAGCCTTTCCTTGTTAACTTTCTGCAAATCCCAAATACGCAGGTAAGAAGGAGCTACTGCTGTTTAGATTGGAAGATAGACATGCAGCAGAATATCCCAGGGGCAAGGTCAAAAATGTCAAAATGACAGCTACCACACTGTGATGGAAATTATCCCTGGTTTACCTGTGTCTCAGATGTGCAAAGATGTGTTTCATCCGATTATTGTGTGAACAGGCATCATGCTATTGTGGCTGCCATCTCAACACCCTGTGGATCCACATGGGATGCAGACTCTTTCCCCCAACCAGTTATCAGTTATCCAGGCTTCCTCCCAGGTGTTCTTAGCAGGGGGTCTAGTTCCTTCTAAATTTTGATGCAGCTATCCATTTAATGTGGCTGTTGAATTAAAGCTTCCCCAGGTTTGTCTCAGACTTGGGCAGAGCATGGACTTTGATTTGCAAGGAGCCAGTTTGGTCTAGTAAAACGTTAGACTAGAAGGCAAGAGACTCTTGAGTTCAAGTCCCACTTTAGCCATGAAAGCCAACTGTGTGACCTTTGGCCAGTCACTCTTTCAGCCCAACCCACTTCACGAGGTGGTTGTGGAGAAAGCAGGAGGAAGAAGGTGGGTTGGATGCGTTTGCTACCTCGAATATAAAAATCTACCCTTCTGTTTAGTTCAGGCCAGCTGTAAAAATATTTGATCTTGAAGGGATAAGAGTATAGTAAAAACATTCCTAAAAGCAAAAAGCAGCCTGCCTGGAGAACCTATTGTTCTCCAGAGTTGTGATGACTACGTCTTCCCCAAATCTTGATTCTCCTTGCCATTTTAGAAAAATAACAGATGGCTTGTAGCACACAAACAAGTTTACTCCAATGTGAATAACAACTACTGACTGTCGGGGTGTGTGTGCAGAAATACACAATGTTGTCTTCCATCCCAACCACACCCCAACCAGACTATAGGTAATCCTCAACTTATAACCGTTCATTTAATGGTAGTTCGAAGTTACAACAGCATTGTAAGAAGTGACTAATTACTTACACCCATGGTCACCCATGGTCAAGTAATTGAAATTTAGACTCCTGGCAACTGGGTCATATTTATGATGGTAACAATATCCCAGGGTCACGTGATCAAATTTTGTGACCTTTTTGACAAACCAAATTCACTTAATAACCAAGTTACTAATTAAACAATTGTAGTGATTCACTTAGCAACTGTGGCAAGAAGAGTTGTAAAGTGGGACAAAACTCACTTGCTTAACAACAGAAATTTTGGGCCCAATTTTGATTGTAAGTTGAAGGTTACCTGTAGTGGAAAGAAAAGTTCACCTGTCTCTTTCTGCAGCCTGCACCATTGTGGCCATAGTGATGGAAGAGGTTGAAAATCCAAACAAGGATTTCTTAAGATGATTTCATTTCCAAGGAATCCAGGAATGTGGCAGTGTGTAAAGCGCAAGCCTTCCAAGGTACACATAGTCCTTGACATATAATCATTCGTTTAGTGACTGTCCAAACATGACAACAGTGACATGAACATTTTTTACACAGCCATTCACACGAATGTTGCAGCATTCCATGGACACATGATCAAAATCTGGATGTTTGGCAGTTTGTTCATATTTATGATAGTTACAGGATCCCCAGATCATGTGATTTTGCAACCTTTTGCAACCTTCTGACAAGCAATGGGGAAGCTGGATTTACTTAACAACCATGTCACTATTTTAACAACTGCAATGATTCACTTAACAACTGTGGCAAGAAAGGTTGTAAAATGGGGCAAAACCTATTTAACAACTGTCTTGCTTAGCAACATAAATTTTGGGCTCCATTGTGGTGGCAAGGCAAGGAGTAGCTGTAGACCAGGGGTGACAAAGCCCTTCCATATTTGTTTCTAAGAAAGCAATTGGCCCATGTCCTTTTATTATTAGGAGCTGTTGAGAAAGAGACGAGTTAATACTGGCTTTGGATTAGAGGCTAGTTGCATTCTTATCCACAAAGAACCTCAAGAATTGCAACCAGAGGGTCTCATCCCATGGCTAGCTAAGCATTAACATAGAAGGCTGACTCCGAAATGATTGACAGACCACTTTGAAGCAAATAACAAAATGGACGAGCATTTTCTCTAGAAGCAATGATTTTTTTCTTTAAACATTCTTTGCAATCCCTGGGGGAAAAACATAAAACAAATGCATTTCTTGACTAAACTATATGAAGTTTTGGAAACTTGTCTGGCAGACGCACCTGGTCTCAAGATATGAGGATGCAGAGTGTCCCTGAAAGCCTCAGATAACTCCGGACCGAAGCTTGTGCAGATAAGCTGTGTTGATATTGTGGCTACGCATTGTATCGCCAGACCTATGATCCGTCTTCTTCTTTATTCTTTTCTTTTCCCTTCCCTTTCTCCCCCTCTTCTGTCCTTGAGAGGTGGTTGGGGCTGTAAACTTCACTGAAGCCCACATTCCTGATAGAGCAGCTTGCTTGACATTTTCTTAATGTGCCATTTTTGCTTTTAAAATCCTTTCCCATCCCCCACCACCACCACTGACATTGAAATAGAGGTTTCATAAAGTTGGGAAATGAGGGGTAGCTGATTCTTCCCTACTCTAAACTCAAACCCCTCGGCCTATGTTAGGATGACTGTTCCCAGGAAATCCAGCCAGAACAGGGATGCCAGACAAAGGGGAAATACCTTATCATTAGTCCAGATCTCTCTTTTTGCTTAAATTCTGGAATTTGTAATTACCACTGACCTGAAAAACAGTAAACCAGACAAGGTGGGATTACAGGGGTTACATATACAACACATGATAGGGAGATTTCTTAAGTATTTAAGCCTCTTGCTATTATTATTCACCATGGGTGGTTCCTCATCAGCAAAATCCTCACAAATTATCACTTTTCTTGTGTATCTTTGCATGTGAAATCTTCCTAAACTTGTGTCAGATTCCTTCCTTCCTCCCTTCCTCCCTTCCTTCCTTCCTTCCTTCCTTCCTTCCTTCCTTCCTTCCTTCCTTCCTTCCTTCCTTCCTTTAGGACTGCAATAAGACATCCATAGTTACAGGCCCCCTTTTCAAAAAGGAGTGTTTTTGATGCATCTGTCTCTTTGCATTGGCCTTTGCATTCATTTTATCTTTGTAGCTACAATAATTTCTAGCAACCTATTTTAGTTATTCTACTCCTCACAGTAATTGTGTTGATACTTTGAGAAAAGCTTTTAAAAAAGGGATTTATTTGAGCAGGTACTTCTCTTTGAGATATCCCTTCTGTCCAGCATTTGAAACCAATCAACAGTGCTGGTTTGAAGTAAGTAGTCCATTGATTTTTGTCAATTTCCAGAGAAAAGGTCGACCTTTTTCTTTCATTTTAAGGAAAACAAATAATTAAAGACTCTGTATTAAGTACCAGCTTTGATTCTGTTTTGGGGAATGGATGCCATAAGAGTTTTTGATGGTGGGCCAGGCAATGAAATCGTTCTGATTTTAATGAATCTTTTTCAGCTTTGACATCTCACTGTGAAAAAAATTGAGGCTGATGGTTCTGCCAAGTCTTCCTTCTCTTATGTTAGTGAAGCCTCTCCCCTCAATAGTCACCCCCCCACAGGAATATTGAGTGTACATGGAGGAAAGATGCAACCCCCTTCAGCAGCCTGTATTGCCAAAAACCAGGAAGCCCAAGGACATCGTTGTCTCTTAGGAACAAACAAACAAACAAACAAACAAATCTGGATGCAGACTGAAGGTCAAGCAGGGAATGAGGAGGTGCAGGAGGTGACTGGAGGAGGGTGGACTGTAACATTATTTTAGAACATTATTTGCACTGCTCTGATGTAAAATGCTCAAATCAACCAAGAGAACCTGCGTTTTACACGGCAGTTCCACAATTACAGCTTCTAATGAGTTCTACCTACAAGCTATATTTTTTATGCATGCCAAGAAAAAAGGGGTTAATATGAGAAGAAAGGGGAGGGTGAACAATGCCAGATGACTCTGTTTGTTTTTCTTTTTTCTTTCCTCCCCTGACAGCCATCTCTGAGTTTAGGGTCCCATTCCATCTGCAACAGGAAGCACCATGGTTGACCCCTGGTCATCAGTCTCTACCACCACCCCTGCAGGGGCAGTCCCCTCCCGCAAATAGCAGCGAGCAGTATTGAAAACACAAGCAGAGGACAGGAATTGTTACTTTTTGCAAACACTTTGGTGTCCTTTATTTTAGAACCTGAGTCCTACAGCCATCCACACGCCACCCATCACTCTTCTTTAACCGCTCATGATTCAAAATGGAACATAAGCAACAAAACAAGGTTGCCTAATGAATGAGATAAATCATGAACCCACAAGATGTTATGTGTGAATTGAATAACTTTGGGTAGGCTAAGAACTCAATCAAGAGGGATGAGTGGAATATTGGATCAAAAAATATTCTGGAGAAAAGTAAAGACAAGCTAGAGTATATATGGATTTTTATTTGTATCCCACCTTTATTATTTTTAAAGGCAGAGAACTTATCATCACACCATGGGCATGTATCATTTCATGTAAGCAAAAAG